CCTGTGATGTTCTTTCTCTGTTGATCTCTTTAACACAGCCTGATCTCTGTTGATCTCTTTAACACTATCTTCTTTTTTTATCTCTCTTATAACTAAAGTTTCATTATTAATTTTACCATCAACACCAAGGCAAACAAACTCTCTGTTATTTTCAACAGATTTTAAGTCTGACAATACTTTAACTGACTTTTTTTGTCTGCCTATTTTGGATTTGTCTAAAAAACTAAAGTTGATATAATTGCTGGATCATTAAACCTGATAGATCGAGCATAAGAGCATTTCCTAATGCTCCCATCGAACTTCCTATATCATTTCTGATCAACTCAATAGCAATCTTTGGAAACTTCCAAAGATTGTAAATTCCTGATAGATTTCTTTCAGGCTCCCATATCTTATGTTATAATATATAATTTATGAAGTTAATTTACAAAAAAATTAAATATAAAAAAGTGATATGTTAAAAAAAGAAAGTAAATTTAAAAAAATATAAAATGAACCAAATTTCAATTTATTAGTTAATTACCTAAATAGAGCTAGAAATGATAGATTCTGATAATACTATTTCTGGAAGTAAATTAAATGTTTCTTGTTGTAATGATTGTTCCACATTTTTATATTCAGTTTTATGTTTCTTTAAAGATTCTTTTCTAGACCATTCATGATCTACTGAGCCAAGTTGAAATGATCCTTTTGGACGTGACTTTTTTCTCTGATCTTTTAAATCTAACCTTTCTTCTAAAGGAACCTAAATATAATTTGATAATATTTAGCAATTACATATGAAATTCATAGTATTAAACTTTATCATACTAGTAATATACTTATGTTCATTTTATTTAAAAATACTTTTATTTTATTTATCTATTATTAAAAAATAACATAGTTTTTTTTTCATCTGGACTACATGTGCATAAAATATGAGTATCAGGACAGTTATTTTGAATATATTTAATATTTTTATCATCACAAAGAACAGCTTAAGGATCACATGTGCAGGAACTGATATCAAAAAGCCTATCCAATTTTATAGAAGTGTTTTTTTCTGTTAATACTTTGCATTTACTTCAGTTAATTAACCTGGATATGTTTAGAAGTACTTTAACATTTTTTTTTTACACAATAAGTGGACATTAATGGTAGTCGAGTATTAACTTTTTTCCATATCATGATTATTTTTTCAGCTATAAGTTTTACAATTACGCAAAAGCAATAACTTGGATAAGTATTGTTAAGAAAATAATAATCTTGAATAATCTGTTTGTGGGTGGTTCTGTATTTGCAAGAAGGTTAGGACTTCCACCAAACTTGCTTTTTGTGCAATTTCATGTTTTACGCTTGTTTGAAAACATTATTTTTCGTCCTCCAAAATTTTCTTTTTCCCACACAATTATAACATTTGTTTATTTTGCGTAAGTGCGGCAATCTTTAATTTGTATGAAAATGTTAGTGGTAAAGATGGCATTGCAGAATTTTTTAAATTAAATATATCAATATTTAAAATCATTTTAGCTCAACTTAAACTTCATTAAAACAAACAAAATTTTACTAAGCACATTTTTTTTACATAATAATCAAATCTCTTTATTATCAAACCTCTGATTCCAAAATCGACCTGCCCTATTATATAATCACAAAATAAGTTGCATAAAAGTTTAATCGAGTTGATATCAAAAAAAAGTTTAAATGAGGTTTAGAACACAAAAAATTAAAACAAATACAAATTTAATATTTAAAGTGTCCTCCTTTGGCTTGATAGCAAAGAAGAACTCGTCTCTGCATTGATTTAACTAGTTTCATGCACATCTCATGTGGCACTTTTAACCAGTACTCATCAGAAGTTGCTTCAAATGCTCAGTTGATTGAATTTGATGGTTTACAAATTGAGTGTCGATCGATGATCAAATATTTTCTGTTGGGTTGATATCTGGTGATCTAGGGTATCAAGGTATTAAATTGATCTTCTTTGTGGTAAACCAGTTTGTTATACTATGTGCTGTGTGTGCTGGAGCCCTGTCTTGCTGGAAGATGTATTGTTTGCTTCTGTTGTACAATAGCCTTGTCAATGAAATTAAATGTGTTTCAAGTGTGTTTTTGTAGGTATATTGGTTGATACAGCCATTATACAGCTCACAAAAACCAAGACCTTTGTGGGAAAAGCATCCCCATATGTCTACTGAGCCTCCACCACCTTGTCGTCTTGTTTGTAAATATCACTTGCAAAATTTCTCAGTTGAAAATCTTTTAACATATATTCTTCCTTTGCGGTTCACAACCTGAAAATTTGACTCATCACTCCAAATCACTAGATAAGTTAGTTAATTAGATATCTTGACTAGATATTGCTACTATTTGATATCTGACTGGATATAATATTGGATATAACCAATTGAATAATAAAATTATTCAATTGGATAAGAAGGAAAAAAAAAATTATTTCAAGTTTTTTTTGTTTTGTTTTAATGCTGCCTTAAAGATTCACAGGTGCCTGATAAAATCATTT